ATTGTTGCTTGTTATGTAGCTATACATATGGACTCTTATGAAATTATGTTGGCCCATTTAATCTTTGGTTATACTTTCCTTTTGTGTATTTAAGGCCATACAGTTGCTCCAGATAAAACCGGTTTGTTTTTACTCTTAAGGTCGTTTGAGGATCTGTTCCTCAAATTAATTTTTTAAAAAATATTTTATTTATTATCTTTATTTTATGTGGATGAGTATATTGCCTGCCTGTATGTGAGTGCACCAGTGTCCTGCAATGCTGCGGAAGTCAGAAGAGGGCTTCAGATTCCCCTGGAACTGGAGTTAAGGACGGTTCGTAGCTGCTGTGTGGGTGCTGGGAATTGAACCTGGGTCCTCTACAAAAGCAGTCAGGGCTCTCAATCTCTGAGCCAACTCTCCAGCCCCAAAATTCATTTTAATAATATATTTTGGGGCCTGGGGGTGTAACTGAAAGCAGAATGCTTGCTTGGTATGTTCCCAGTCCTAGATTTGATCTCCATTGCCTCAAAAAAGGGGTTCGGAATGTAGCTCAGTTGGCAAAATGCTTGCATGGCATGCACCAAGCCTTGGGTTTGTTCTTCAGTACAGTATAAAGCTGGGAGTAGTGGTACATGCCTGGACTGTGTAGGCAAGATTAGGAGTTCAAGGTCAAGATCTTCTTTGACTACATAGTAAGTTCACAGGCAATCTGGGCTACATGAGACTCTGCCTCAAGCAAAAACAAACAAAAACCCTATTTATCTATCAAATTATATACACACTACTTAACTCATATATCCATTTTAATCAATTTTTATGTAGATAAGTGTACCTGTGTCATGCAATGCCTGCGGAGGACAGAAGAGGATGTTGGATCCCCTGGAACTGGAGTTAGGACAGTTATTAGCTGCCCTGTGGGTGCTGAGATTCAAACCCGGGTCTTCTGCAAGAACAACCAGTGTTCTTAACCGTTGAGCCATCTCTCCAGCCCCATTTCATCAATTTTTAATTACTGAGATAGGTATCATTGTTTTTTCATACTAAATCTTTAAAATCCTACATGCATTTACCCTTAAATTGCATCTCATTTTGGATTAGCCACTGTCAAGTGCTTGGTGGCTAGTTGGCAGTGACTGCTGTGGGACCGCGCTGGAAGACCACTACCATCACTGCAGGCGGTTCTTTTGCTCAGGATGGGTCTAGACTTAGGTAGGTTAGCAGCCCTTCAAACAGCAGGAAAATGTTATCCCTCTTCCTTCTGATATTAAGGAGATGGAACTCAAAGGATGAGAAACTTTCTTGGTTCTTTCTAGAAAATACTTATTTATTCAAGGAAACAGGCAAAAAGGAGACCAGTAATTGTTTATAGGCCTTTGAGGTGGATTTTTCCCATTGTGGTATAATGTGTGAAATGTACAGATATAAGTTTCAGCAAGAGCTTCACTGTGTGTGTGTGAATACATGCATGTCTGTACATGCTGAGGACTGAACCTAGGCCTTATTCATCTCATTCACGCTGAACATATGCTCCATTGTTGAGCTAAACCCCAGTCCTGAAGTTTATATGTGTATACATCCACATGAACCACCCAGGTGGAAACATTCCCAGTACCCTAAAGGTTCCCTTGCAACTCTTCTCTATCAATAACACATCCTGGAAGGCACACTATTCTACCTTCATTCCCAGTGTGATAAAAGTGTTGCCTGCTTTTCAACTTCCAGTCAACAGAATCACACAGTGTGTACTTCCTGTGTCTGTGAGATTTTTGTTTTATAGGTCTGATAAAATTCAGTAAGTTTCCAGAAAAGCAGAAGAATCTGGCCCTGCCTCAACACTTGATGGCCCTCAACAAAACGGGAAAATATTGGGGACCCTAAGATTCTGACTCTGAGATACTTGAGAAATTGTGGGTTTGTAAGAAAGCGAAACAGGATCAAAGGTTCTGGGCATCAAGTTCCCTAAGCAACATCCAGTGGCTGTGATGGAGGTAAAGACTCCGGGACAGGAATGTGATGCCGGGCCTGGCTGTGTACCTCCCTCTGTCCCAGTCCCAGTGTCAGTCCTCAGTGCCCTCTTCTTGCCATTTGTGGATTTTCTTTACCGGACCTGAGGGCTGAAACTCTAAAGAAACCAAGATGCAATCTTCCCTCCTTTCTTCCTTTGGCCTGGAGTTGCAAGCCAGGCAGGTGAGGGGTCACAGATGCATGGCACTCAAACCGCCTGGGCTCTCAGTAGAAGCAGCTCTCCAAAGATCTTCTTCCTGTTCCTTCCCACTCTCACCCAGCTGAGACCCACCCAGAGCCTTACCTGTGGCTTCTTCTCCCTTTCTTCCGGGGATGGGTCTGTTTCTCTGTAGACGACAGCTTTGGTTACCAGCATGTCTGGATGCTGCAGTTTGGCTTCCTTGATGGCCAAAGCCAGGGCCTGGTGGGCAGAACAGCACAGTGAGGCATCAGAGAATAGTGCCTATGAGAGAAACTGAACACAAGCACAGTGCACAGATGGGGAAACTGAGGCCCAGGGAGGGGCAAAGTCAAACAGAGGAAGAGACTAGAGTTTGGATCTTCTGGCCCCCATTCAATGCCCCTTCCTTGGGGGCTCCTTACCTGAACGGGGTCAGCAAGAAGTGGACACCTTCTCTACCCAGAAGGGTAGCTGTCCATAGGTCACCCATTATAGGAGGGACTGAAGACCAGGCAGTACCAATGGGAATACCATTCCCCAGCCCCATACCTGGTCTTGATCGACATCTTCGTCCCCAGTAATGATGATTCGCTTCTCAATCCTCGTCTCAGAAAACCCTCCCTTCACAGTCTGCAGAGGGAGGAAGAGGGAGGGGGAGGGGGAGGAGGAGGGAGAAGGAGAGGGAGAAGGAGAGGGAGAAGGAGAGGGGAGAGGGGCAGGGGAGAGGAAGGTGAGGTCCCTCTTGTGTCTGCTGGAGCAGCAACTAAAACAGGAGACCTGCCCAAGCATCAGTGAAGGGCAAGGCTGAGAGCCAGCCTTGGTCTCCTTAGCGGTCTCCTTTTCTAGTTTGGGGACTTCAGACAGTAGTTCCTGCCTGGTTACCACAACTCTCTAGCAACCAAACTGCCCCAATATAAGTCTCCCATACCCAATTAAGACACCACTCCTTGGCTGGCAGAGCCTCTTGGCATCCTGCCTGGGTACTCCCTGAGCACTGAGTCTGTATCTCTCTCAGTTCTGGGTTTCTATCTGGTACACATGGCCTTGCTCATGTCTCCAAGCTTTGAGCTCTGGAGGGCAGGGCCTGTATTTTGTTCATCTCAGAATCCCCTCCTCTTCCCAATCTGACTGGGCAGTGCTGAATGCAGATCTGTTGAATGAATACATGAATGAAATGTGAATGGTGACAAGCTTCTACCTTAAACAACTTGGAACAACCCTACAAGAGAAGAGCGTACTGAAGATAATTTATTACCGCTGCTGGTTTCTTAACAAGTGGGACTTGGGTGCAAGTTTAAAAGTAGAAGGGCAGGGCCTTAACTGTTTGGCACATTTAAGAAGGGCAGGCAAAGGTGACCAGAAAGAAGAGAGAGGCTTCCAAGTAGTAGGGACCTGAGGGACTTTGGTAAGTTTTCTGAGCTGTGTGCTGCTGTAAGGGTGTGTGATGTAAAACACTCCCAGTAAAGTGGGCAGAAAAGGCAATGTTATTCTCTGATGCTTTGGGAAAGAGGTTTCTTTCTGGGAAATGTGACAAGGTGCTGAGTCTACAAGGTTGCAGGCAAGGCCCACACAGTGTGTACAAAAGGCCAGTACTAATGACAAGACTCTGCCTTTGGTGGATCAGCTGGACCTCCAACTCAACTCCCCCGGCTCAGCCTGGCTCCTCAGGCCTCTAGCCGTGGCTGGGCCTGTTCCTGTTTTCCATCTGGCCATCAGGTGCGGTCCTGTTAGCAGCATCCCTCTCTGCCTTTTTTCCTCATTAGCTGTCACAGATTGTCTGACCTATTCTCCTCCCTCCCTAATTCACCCAGTCCTAAGCCCTTGCTTGTCTCGTTTGCCTCCATATTCTGTATCCTTTGCCAGTCCTCCTAATTCCCCAGTCCCCTATCTACATTCTGCTTTCCCTGTCTCCTACAAACACACCTCACTTATGCCACCTCCAGCAGCCCATGAATCCAGTAAGGTTGATGCTCATTAGCATTTGCTTAACAAAGAAGTAAACACATAGTTTCTGCTCTTCTTCTGGCTAGAGAACCTCCACTGTCTCTTCCTCCCTCAGACATCCTGCATGATACCCAGTATTCTGCTCAGACTCTACTCTTTCACTCTTTCCTTCCTTCCTTGCTCTTTTATCTGGGGGCAGGGGCAGTACTAGAATTGATGGAGATTGAACCCAAGGCTTTGCTGGGCAAGGACTATACCATTGAGAAATATCCCCAGCCCTGTTTTTACTTTTTTATTTTGAGGTGGGGGGTCTCACTAAATTGTCCAGGCTGACCTTGAACTTTCGATCCTGCCTCAGCTTTCCAAGTATCTGGGATTAGAGGCCTGGGAAATACTTTTTCTAGGAGACACTTCCTGTCGGGTATGGTGGCGCATCCCTTTAATCCCAGCACTCGGGAGGCAGAGGCAGGTGGATCTCTGTGAGATCAAGGCCAACCTGGTCTATATAGTGAATTCCTGGTCAGCTGGGGCTACAGGGAGACCCTGTCTCAAAAAGACCGAAAAAAAAAAAAAAAAGAGAGAGAGAGAGAGAGAAACACTTCCTGACTCTTGGGTCTTGGGTCAGGAGCTCTCACAATCCTTCCTCTAAACATCTCTGACTCTTAAGGCCCGTAAGATGTAAGCACCATTGCTCACTATTACTTTGTTGTTGTTGTTGTTGTTTTTTTGTTTTGTTTTTTTGAGACAGGGTCTCCCTGTAGCCCAAGCTGTGTACAGGAACTCACTATGTAGACCAGGCTGGCCTTGAATTCACAGAGATCCACCTGCCTCTGCCTCCCAAGTGCTGGGATTAAAGGCGTGCACCACCACGCCTGGCTGTTCACTATTACTTTGAAGGAGAGGGTCTGGGTCCCAAGAATAGCTGCCAATGCTGAGTACAAGGCCTGGGCTTAGGACAACAGTAGCACAGGGCACACACAGTACTCTAGAAATGGGCAAATGGTCCCCTCTAAGTGCCTAATAGATTGAAAGGCAACGACAAGCCTTGGTAACGACCTTCCCACCTATTGCCCTCTGGGCCCCGGGAGCCTGCTGCTACTCACTTTGGTGACATGGGTGGTGGTGGAGGTTGAGAGGGTTTCCGCAGTGGCGCCGTAGGTGCTGGTGAGGACATCTTTCCCGATGATCTGCAGAATATAACCACCCCCCACCCTGGGCATCAGGTCATAGCATTGGGCTCTGCAGGGGCAGGCAGGGTTAGGGAAATTCTCCCAGGAATGAGCAGGGGCCCCGTGAAGGTGAAGTATGGAAGTCAAGATGCTATTGAACTATTTATTCATGTATAAGAATACCGAGGTCTTTCAAATTCTAGATCTGTAACGTTCCCACACCCAGGAATCTGTGATTCCTAGAATCTGAATTCCTAAGGCCCGAGTCCTAACAACACCCTGGAATCTGAGAATCCTGGAACGTGGGAAGAAGGAACAGAGAGATCCAAGGTGGAGACAGAGCCCTCTGGGTCCCTCATCCTGTCACATTCAGGAACATGTTCTTTTGGGGCTAGATACTGAGAACAACAGACTTAGAGAGTCAAAGCACAGGAAAGACTTTACAGTGACAGGCTCAGGGACACAGGAGAGGCAGCCACCTGTAACAGAGACTGGCCTGGAATCCAAGCCTCTAGACTCCTACTCCATTGTTCTTCCTGGTCTGTAAGCTGATACAGCAAGGTGGGGGGCTCTGCTTACCTGCAGCAGAAGGGCACTGATGGGGAATCTGTGGACATCTGAAAATCATCTTGTTTCCTGGCTCTGCACTCATAAGAGCACCTTCTGAGCCCCTCACTGTACTCACTGTAGGCTGTGTGCAGGCCCAAGCCCACATGCTCAGTTCCGAGTCCCCTAGCCTGAGCTGGCCCTGCCTACTTACCGGTGAAAGAGAACGGATTTCCGTGGCCACCGTCTGTGGGCCTGGGATCATGGCAGCTGCCCCCTTCCCGGACTTGAGACTGTTCTCCTAGAGAAACAATAGTGCTCAGATGGCTAGGTCTCAGGTCTGTGGCCCCCTAGGATAGCCAGGGTGTGTGGCCATGCGGTTTTAACCACAGGGTTGAGGAGTAACAGAAACAGAGAGCTAAGGCATTGCTCAGTTTACTCTCTCTCATTCTCCCCTCACTTTAGCATTCACACACACACTTGCATGGTGGCTCACATACTCAACATTTACTGAGTCCCTAGTGTTAGGGACGCTGTGATGAACATGACATGGTATTGCTCTCTGGAAGCACTAATAGGAGTTGGGACACTCAGGCTCTTATCCTGGCCCTATCATGTTCTAGCTGAGTAACTTAGGTAGAGCCACTTCCCCCCTACAGGCCTTGGGGATTTATCTGTGAAAAAGGACTTTTGCTGAATTCTATGGAGTCCTTCTGAGGAGAACAGAGGGGGAAGAGCTTTGTAAACCAAAAGCTGTCAGTAAATGCAGGTTAATTGTACTATAGCTATTTCCTGAGTATGTGCTAGCACTAGACATTATACTAAGCATGTTACATGTATGATCCCATTTAACCTTAACAACCACTATAGAAATTCTTTTAAATATTCTGTAGATAACACACAGGAGAAGGAAAAAAAAGAGTATTAAATGCCTCCACAACATTTGTATCCTGCCCAGGCTGAGTGACTGGGTCACTTGGCAAACCATTATAAGGTGCTTTCTGGGCAGCACTTTGGATCTCAGAATGCTAGTGTTCCCTTTCTCTGGCTTGGGGTCCCTTTGAGTCCTTCTATCATTCAGAGTGTGCTCCTGTAAAGCCTCCTACCTTCTGTCTGCGGGCAAGCCTCACCTCCATCTTCACTCTCCAGGACAGGCCACTAAATGGGACATAAGTTATTCAAAACCCAGGGGCTTGCTGCTCCTCCCTGGCTGTACCTATCTCCTGTCACAGGGAAGCACAGCTCATCTCCTTGGATAACTCTACTCTCTCCTCCCTTCCCCTTCTCCACCCTCAGTTATTCAGGAATTTCCATTGTCTCAGTGAGGTCAGTCTCTTAATTCCTAGCCTAGATCTTTCTTGACCCCTAGATCTTCAAAACCAGTTGTCCCCTGGGCCTTTCCTTGGAACGTCCCAAAGGCACCTCACACTTGTCGGGTCCTCAGTGGAACAGACTGCTTCTTCCCAACACATGTGCAGCACTCCCCTCTCAGACTACCCTTGAGGGGCATCAACCTGGAGGTCCTGTGAACACAGACTGCAGGCCTCCCAGGATTTCTGAGTCAGGAGATTGATGCCAGGGGAGAATGTAACTTTATCACAGATACCTGGGACTACACTCTGAGAACCTCTGGCCAGTGAACATCTGTTCTCCTTCCTCCTGAGAATTTTACCAGTGACCAAATACTGTAGTTTCCTGTTCTAGGACTCCCAAGTCCCAAACCCTCCTCTGCTCCCACTTTCTAGCCCCAGCGAGATACCAACCCCTATGCGGGTTCCCCATTTTCTTTCCATCACTCTCAGTGTGGGCCCCAGAGCTCAGGACACTGTCTTCTCCAGTGGAGGATTCACAGTTTCTGGCACAGTACTTCATACATCGTGGGTGGTCAATAAATATTTTTAAAAGGAAATAAAGAGGCAGGAAGGAGGAAGGGAAGAAGGGGAGGGAAGGGGAGGGGAGGGGAGGGGAGGGAAGGGATTTTTTGTTCCAGCCACACTCCACACAAGTTGATAATCTAACAGATACATACAATTGATAACATGCTCATATTTTTAAAATGTGATTCCCTGTTGTCTCCAGAATGAAGTTTAGACTCTGCACATGACATTGGAGGCACTTCAAGATCTGACCCAGTCCTACTTTTCAGCCCTCTCCCCCACCTGACAGCTGCACAGGCCCCCTGCCTTTCCCTGGATGCTGCTGCAGATGCCGCTGTGCTCTTTCACCTGCCCTCACACCTCTTTTCCACAGCCTGGAGTGCCTTCTCCTACATCTGTACCTCAATCCATCCTTCACTCACAGCTCCACTGTCCCTGGCTAAGTGACACCGCCTTAGTTCCTCTTCATAGTGGTCCCTAGGTAATTTTATTACACTGTGCCATGGTAGCAGGAAATACAGAGCAGCAGCTCACACTCAGAGATACTATGTGCCAGGACTGTTCTTGGGGTTGTGCCTAGGACAACTGCTCATCCTCACGAGAGCCCTCTGAGGAATGTGCTGTTATTGTAGTCACCCCCACTTTACAGAAGTGAAACTAAGGCTTGGAGAGGTTCGGGTGACTTGCCCAAGGGCACCCAGCTGGGAAGTGGGAGAGTTGGGCTTTGTTCATCATTGTGTGCCCAGGACCTATACACATTAGAGGTGCTCATGAAGGTGACTGAAGAAATGAATCCTAGCAAGCAGTGTAATTTTCTTAACTCCAAATCCCAGTGCTAGGCAGACAGTAGAGACTCATCAATGTTTTGGAACAAATGAATGGATGAATGGATGAATGAGAAAATGAATGAAATATCTGCTTACTCACCATAAGGACAAATTTAAATTTAGCCTTACAAGCACCTCACTGCCTTTCAATAATAATTTGGAGGGAGAGGAAGAACTGAGTGACCAGAGAAACAAACATGAGCCATCTGGTAAGTGGTTTGAGTTTACTGATCCTGAAATCTGTTTGTTGAAAATCTACCAGCAGAGGAACTTGACTTAATGAAATTATTTTAGGTATGCATCAGGGGTGGGGCAAGGAAAATCATTTGAAAACAACTCTCTATATAGCTCAGGAAAGATCTAGATCAGGCACTGCTGCCTTCTCCAGTCCCACAGGGCCAATGTTCACACAGGTCAGGATGGGGACAGAGCACGGAGGTCAGTAGTGAATGTTGGGTTTCTCAGGTCAGAATTCCTGAGGCTAAACTGGCACTATCATTTATTGGTCGTGTGACCCTGAGTACATCACGTTACACCTCTGAACTTCAGTTTCCTCATCTCTAAAGGACATAGAAGAAAGAGCAGCTACTTCACAGTTTCACACGTCGTTCAGTGTTCTCAGGAGATTGCCTGGCACCACAGCCTGTGTGCTGAATGCTGTCTGTTCTAATTCATTGTTAAAGGCTCTTGAGTCTTGTAAGAAGCTGTGAGCCAGGTGGAATGGGATGATTCCCATTTTACAGATGAGGACACCTGAGGCCAAGGGCTTTCCTTCACTAATCAGACAGCAAGTAGCAGAGCCACAAGGTCTCTTAGAAAGCATGGGAAAGCCTGCATTCCCAGCTCAGGCTCACTGCTGCCATCTACTGGCCACACTGAGAAAGTGGCTGAGATGGGAGAAGCTGCTGGTAACTGGTTTGGGTTTACTGAAGCTGCAGGCTATGAGGATGTGGTGTGGGGAGAGTCAGACGCACCTTCCACCTGCAGTTGAGATTCACGTGGAATTGAAAGATGAGATGCCTGCATGCCAAGAATCAGATCACACCATACTCCCTTTACTCCTGCGTGGCTGAGATGGCCCAGATAACAGACTCAGGGACTCCCCCTCCCCCAACATTATTTAATTTGAAAAACTGAGGTCTGACAATATGTATTAGGGCAGCCAAAGTACCATACCACAGAGGTCTGATTGTCTTCCTGATTTATGCAGTGGGGGCAGCTGAGGACTTCCTGAAATAGCTGCCAGGGTCACTTGCTATCTGGCTATTTGGGGAACAAGGGGCAGGTCAGTGAAGGGAGTCTCCTGGGTTCCACTTACCATGGTGGTTGAAATGGTCTCTGTGGTGATGCAGGGGGGAGCTGTCATGAACTCTTTACCTACTGGGGCACTCCCATCTACCTGCTGAGCAGAGGAGGAAGCATTAGAGATGGACAGGACCAGACATACCTGGAGCATCTGTCACCTGGCTCATGACACTTCCAGTTAGAGTGACAGGTTATGTGAGTGGGCATGAATTGGGGGTAGTCCACACACAGCATTCCTGAGAAAACTTGAGGTTCCTCACAGACCCTCCACTTCATTTCAGGAAGAGTAATTCCACACAAGTTGACAAATTCTACCTAAGTTTCAGCATACACAACCTTTGATGTAGCAATGCACAGGAAATTATTTTAATTTTTAAATTTTATTTTATGTGTATGAGTATTTTGCCTGTGTGTATATAAGTGCATCATGTGTGTGCAATGCCCATGGAGGCCAGAGAAGGCATCAGATCCCCTGGAACTGGAGTTAAGTATAAGTGTTAGCTGCCATATGAGTGGGGAACCAAACCCCAGTTCTCTTGAAGAGCACCCAGTGATTTTAACTGCTGAGCCATCTCTCCAGCCCCAATTCACAGGAATTTACCCTTTGCATAGAAACTTTTTAAATTTACTGAGAAATATGGACAAGGAAATTTTATCATAGTACTGATTATTTGCAAAAGATAAAACCCACCACGGGGTCCAGTGATGGGAGACAGAAATGTAAATCAGGACTCAATTCCTGAACAGGACTAAGAATAAAGTGGACACAGGGCTAGGGATGTAGCACAGTTGGCAAAGTTCTTGCTTAATGTGCATGAATCCCTGGGTTTGATCCCCAGCACCACATAAAAAACTGGCTGTGGTGGTGCATGCCTGTAATTCCAGGACTTAGGCGGTTGGCGGCAGGAGGACCAGAAATCAAGGTCATCCTCAGCTGCCTAGTAAATTTGAGGAACCAGGCTAGGATACCTGGCAGGGATTCTGGAAGTACACACATATATACAAATATGGGGGGGGAGTAAAAGCCATTGTACAGTTACTTTTGTCTAAGAATTTTAAGTGTATATAGATGTAGGTATCTATGTTGGCATATACCTAATCTTTTTCTGAGAGACAGCCTAAGAATAAGTTCATTCATAACTGGGAACATTTTGGAGTTCTTTTTTAATTCATTATTATGTATTTATTTATTTTTATTTTATGTATATGAGTGTTATGCCTGCATGTATGTAAGTGCACTCATGTCCTACAGTGCCTGTGAAGGACAGAAGAGGGCGTCAGATCCCCTGGAACTGTAGTTATGGATGGTTGTTAACTACCATGTGGGTGCTGGGATTTAAACCTGGGTCCTCTGTAAGAACAGCTCTTAATTGCTGAGCCATCTTTCCAGCCCCTTGGAGTTCTGTTTTGACAACAAGAGTTAAGCTGTGGGACTGAAGGTCATTTTTTATTTCCTTATACTTTGTATCAAATGAAATACAAGTTACTAAAAACAAAGTAAGCCAGGAAAGACAAGCCGCTTGTCCAAAGTGGACCAGTTCATGAGCCTTGACTGGAATTAGCCAGCTGCATAGCCCTTAACGTTGTTGTAAAAGTAGGAGAGAATATTCTGAAAATTACAGTTGCCTATGTTGTTGTTTTATGTCTTATTTCATTGCTTTTTCTTTATTTGGGTTGTTTGTGCTGGGGGTAGAACCCACGGCGAGGACTCTACCACCAGGCTATCCACCTAGCCCTTACTTCAGTTCTTGAGACAAAGACTGGTCGACAGGAGACGAAAGTCTCTGGCACAGCAGCTCTTCTGGCCAGGAAGAACCAGGAGGGCATCTCTCAGGACCATAACCTCAATTTCCAAGTTTAAAACCCACAGAAGGCAGGTGGGAAGTGCATAGTAAGCACACTATGTTCAGGACAGCTCTCTCTAGGAGTAAGCATGCTTCATTTTGCCAACACAAACACTGTTTAGTCATTTGCCTTCAGTCTGTTCATCTTGACATTCTAATATGGACCCTCCACCCATAAAAAATGCCCCAGGTGAGCTGTTCTGACCAAAGAGTGATGGGAATTTCTCCCTCTTCTGTCCCCAAGCAGCCCTGGGAAGAACCTCTCTGGTCCATCAAGCAGCCTGAAAGCTATGGTTCTAATCCACTAGCCGCTAGTCTTTTTAACACCCCCAGGAGGAAGGCAGGGGCAGGATCGACCCTGTTTTGCAGATGGAGAAATACTGGCTTTAAAAGTATGTCCTTTCACAGGGCGTGGTGGTGCACGCCTTTAATCCCAGCACTCAGGAGGCAGAGGCAGGAGGATCTCTGTGAGTTCAAGGCCAGCCTGGTCTACATAGTGAGTTCCCGGATAGCTGGGGCTACAGGGAGACCCTGTTTCAAAAAGACCAAAAAAAAAAAAAAAAAAAAAAGGTATGTCCTTTCACCTTTCTCCAACCTCAGAGCTCAGGGACTCAGAGGATCAGGATTGAAGTGGGGGCTCCAGAGATGCCGAGGTGGAAAGGGTTAACAAAGGGTCTTGGCTATGTCAGGAGGGACCCCACCCCCAAATGCCTATTTCCCATGTCAGGCTATTGGGGAGGCACATCTTACCTGGGTGCTGTCCACAGTGGAGACTCTGCTCTGCAGTACGGCCTCTGGCTCAATCTTCTTTCTGATAGCTAGACTGCTGACCATCATGGTTTCTGCTTTCACAGACTACAGAAACATGAAGGGGACACTTAAAAACTCAAGCCCTGGCACAACTTCCATTCACAGGCAATTCGGAGGTAGGAAGAGCAGGCTTTCTCCTACCTCTGGGGTTGGCCAGGTTTCAAGAAGAGTACACAGAGGCATGGTGGTAGTGTCACAAAGAAATGGCCCAAAGGGAGAGAGCCAGAGCCACCACATGCACTGGGCAGGCCTGTCCCCCCGACCTCAGAGGGCTGTATGTCTTTTGAGGCAATATTAAAAGAATGGTTAAAACCCTATGCTCAGTGTTCTCCTTATATACACAATGTTACTGAATCCTTAAGGATATCACAGGTTAAGTCTCCACTGTTCAGCTACTTCATTTGAGCTGCTATTCACAGCAGGAACCATGGAAGCACCCAGGGGCCAGGCAGGGGATGGAAATGGGTCAGGGGGCTGAATGGGGAGAAATGGAGAGCATGTGGGGTCACACTCAGGTTTGGCTATTACCAGAGCCTCTGTTTTTTTTAATGATATAATAAAATTCAATGTCATTAGTTTAAAGTCAAAGTAAAAGAAAACACACTATTGGCCAGATGCAGCCAAGGCCACTGGTTTATAACCTGCGCTCTAAATGACCAGGTTCTTCTGAGTCCCCTAGTAGGCCTAATTCACAGCTATGCACACTAAAGGTTTTCACATGTGAATTGAATGGATGAATGGAGTCTGGCTTGTCATCTAGTTGGAAGGAACAGGGAAGAGGGAGAGACTCTTATAGATGGTTGTACCCTGTGATCTAGTCACTCAATTTGTCATCCCTTAATGCTGAGTATGCATCAGACTTAGAGCAGCTGCCATCTGGAGGGACAGCAGACCTGTCAGCCTCTGTTCTGACTGTGCTGCATTGACACTAGAGCAAAAGCATGCCAGGGCAGGGCAGGGTGTGACAGGGCAGTACTGCCACCGAGGTTGGCCAGAAAAACATTTGCTAGAAAACTGACATCTGAGCCCTGTCCTAGATGGCACTTTGTGAGGCACAGAAAGGGATGGCAAGCCTTCCATGCAGAGGGAACAGCATGGAGTGAGGCTAGGATGGATGAGTTGGTGTTTACTACTTGCGAGGGAGAGAGGGAGACAAGAAGGAAGGGAGGGAAGAAGGCCGAGAGGGAGGGAGGGAGTCTTGACTAGAAGAGGTGAAGGGCAGTGATGAGTTGCTGAAAAACTTCTCTGCAGTTATACAAAGGGTACCACAAAGCAGAGAGGGCCAGACACTGTCAGTCTCTGCATCATCCCCAATGGCTGCATGTTCTCTTCTCTGGGAGTTTCTACTGCCACCATGAGACCCCAGGGCCAGATGGATTTAAATGAACGCCTCTTCTTCAAGTCCTAGGAAAATGAGTCTGGGCCTGAATTAAGAAAAACTACTCAGGTTTCAGACCAGCTGTGGAAACCCTGAGCACCCACAGACACATGCTCTCTGCAGGTGCCATGCAACACAGGCAGGGGGAGGAGTTGAGGAAGACTGTCATCGCTTGACCTCAGCAAGCAATGGAGCCACAAGGTTAAAACACCGTGGAGCACGTGTTAGGGGTGAACCGACACAGCGAACATGCGGTCACAGTCACAGAACCATGCTGTTCTGAGGCAGGGCAGTCATGCAACACCAGACAGAGCTTCAGACTTCAGCTGATGGCCCAGTCTTCTCACACATGGCCCAGGACCCTCTGAGCATGCAGTGCCCTGTCAGGCTGGCTCTCCATGAAGCTCCACTATACCTCAAACTGGGGCATATCCGGGGTGGAGCAAGCCCCTCGATCTGGGCTGTCCTCTGGGCCCCCAGACTCATCATCTTGGCTGGAGGGCTCCTTGAGATCCCGGGAGAACACCAGGCCCTCTGTCTCTGAGTCGCTTTTATCGCGGTCAAGCTCAGGCAGGCTGCGGGAGAAGTCTTCAAAGGCGCTGCCATGGTAGTCACCAATAACTGTGAAGTCCACTTCAGCCTCCAGGCTGGATGTGGAGCTGACCGTGATGCTGGAGCACTTGCGTTCAATGGCCAGATGGTTGTCCTTCAAGAATACGGCATCCCTCTCCTGGTCCTGGTCCTCATCTCCTGTGTCACTCTCTGGGGCCCGAGGGCGTGGTGGTTTGACTTTCTCCTCCGAGCCCTCCCTCAGCCCTGCTCTCTATGGCCAGATAAAATCAGGGGAATGGGGATTTGGGATGGAGAGAGAGGTCAAGATGGTGAATACCAGAAGTAAGAACTGAGTCCATGTCCCCCAAATGGAAGAGCAGATCAGGAAATGAAAAACACGCCCAGGAAAGGCTTCCTTGGAATCATAACAAGCTAGAAATGCAAAATAAAACAGACTTCTCAAGACTGGGGGTGCTCCTTCGGAGGGTCTCACACAGATGGCAAAAGCAAGTACAAAGCCAACATCCTTCCAGTGAGTTCTGGACAGGAGGTCCCATCCAAGAGCCTATCAGAAGCAGCATTGTGCGAAAGGCAGGAATGGAGGCCCAGACCCCAGGCCCATCCGTGCAGGTGGCATTGGGAGGCAAACTAAGGAAGAAGGCTGGGGATTCAGAGGAACCCAGGAGCGGAGGCAGAAAGGCTAAAGCTGGAGCTTGAGGAACACAGAGGAAGCCAGCAGCCTGTCAATTGCACTGAGTCTCTGGGGGAGGGTCAGCATTGACCAGAGGGAGGAGAAATACAGGCCCAGGCCCTCTGGACTCAAGCTTCCCTGGAGCTGGGTGCTATGCCAGTTCCACCTTGAACTCCATGGCGAGCCACAGGCAGGCCATGGAAAGGAAGTTCTGGTTCTATCAGTGTAATTGACAACAGTAGGTCAAGGGAAAGCCTAAGGGGAACCAGCAAACCTTGTCCAACATACATACCACTCAACTGGTCTGTCAGGGATTAAACACCACACACACATTTTTGCCTGGTTTGTGACTTTTTTTTTAAAAAAAAAAAAGACCAATCTAACACCCATAAAATATTTTGAAAAAAAAAAACCAAAAACTCAGCTTCAGGTTCTGGCGGTTTAGTGTGCTTACGAGATTCACTTGTTAAATGGCCTCCACTTGGCCAGTTTCTGGAAGGTTGAGAGGTGTGAGGAGTACATTCCAGACAAGCCAGAGTTTGAACAGCCACGGGTGGGGGGGGTTGCTGCTAGAGCAGGTGGGAATCTAAGGAGCAATGCATCCCGGCCAGGTGAGGATGAACAAGTCATCAGGGCACAGAGGGACTGCAGAGACCTGAGGACCCGGAGGGCTGGTGAATCTCAGGTGCCCCCTCTTCCCAGGGGCATTTGCTGCTAAGCTGGCAGAGAAGCTCTTCTCTTCCCTGACTGCATCTCCGGATTTGTTCTGGGTTAGAGAAGACAGTTAGTCCTAAGGAGGCAGAAAGAAACTTGAGAGGGAACCAGAATGGAGGATGGAGACCTCTGGACTGTCAGCTTCAACAAGGTGGGGTACCAGGGATGGGAAAGGATGAAGAAAGATCACTGGATAAGCCAAGCAAGAGAGGTAGGAATCTAGCAGGTGGAGCAGCAAGGCAAAGCGACTATGTAGTTTGCTGGTGGTGATGGCCCCTTCTTCATGGACACTGTGTGACTCTCTGGGGATCAGGTCACACCAAAGGCTGGGGGCTATTTGTGGCCAAGCTAACAAGGGCTAAGCAGATGGCCCCATTGTTCAGCCTGGGCTAGCTCAGGCCCAGGTGGGAAATGACCTTGTAGGGATGGACAAACAGCCTGACTGCAGGAATGATGAGGAACCATCGAAGCATGCATCTAAGAAGCTACGTGGCATGCGGTTGGCCCCCAGGAGTGAGGACACGGTGGGGGTGGGGGCTCACACGGCCAGTTACCCCAGTAGCTTCCTCCAGCGTGGTTTCGTGGCCTGAATCGGGAGACATGAGCTCCGGGTCTGGGTCTCTTTCCTGGTGGGGAGAAGTGCCCTCCCTGACATGCTGGGCAGCCAGAGGCATGAAAGATGGATGTGGGACTTCGGGGCTGGCAAAGTCCCCAGGGAGCTGGAGCTGGAGCTGGATGAAGTCCAAGTCTGGAAGTTTATTCTGCTGTGGCTCTACGTGTCCCAGGGAAGTCTCTGAAGTCAACTCGTTTGGAAGGGCCCTAGTTTCATCCTGACTGGCTCGATGTGTCTCAGCTCTGTGGGTCTCAAATATCCGAATTTTGTTGGCCACTGAGGTCTTACTGATATCCTCCTGGGAACCCTCGTGGCCCCCAGCTTGGAGGGAAGCCATCTCTTTTTGTTTCTCTAAAGGAAACACCAACCCCAGGAATGTGGCTCCCTCAGTTCCTTCAGGGACAATTCTGGGCTTTCTGCTGGCAACTGGAGGTGCCTTGTGCTCACCTCTTTTGTCAGGGGGCACAATCAGCTCAACTTTGTCCTTGGACTCCAGGCTCTCTTTAGGAGGGTGGACATGTTTGAGAAATTCAGGGAACTGATCCCCAGAGGGATCCCTGAATGCCAAAGGCTCCCCTGACCCAGGAGGGACTGGACTTGGAGAAGAGTCTTCCAGAGTTGTCTGAGCCTCAAAGTAACTAAGGGAAGCTGGCAGCGGGGGGACGGCCTCCCTGTCCCCTGTCTCAGCTTCTCCAGTCTGAATGGGAACTGCTTCCTTTTCCTTGGGCAGGAAGCTGCTTTGGGCTGTCTTGGCTGGCTTCCTAACACAAGGAGGGATAGTCCACAGAAGGGCACAGGCCTGGGCATCCAGGCGCACCCCTCCTCTACCAGGGGAGTGCGTCTTCTGTCTAGCTGGGGGACTTTTCTTACTCTTTCCCATCCAATCTATACTCACAGGGGCCTCTTCCTCTTCAGCTACCCCGGCCATCCTTTGCCCTGCTTCTTCCCAGTCCTCTACAAAAGTCTGCCCCATAGTGGGTCCCTGCAGGTCATCACGGTCTCTGGAAGGCCAGGTGTCTTCCTCTGAGGAAGCCATGTGGGCTTCACCCTTACTCTTGCTGGAAGCTGTGGCAGAGCTTTTTGTATCCAAGGACTTCAGTTCCCAGTGTTCTGGATGCTTCCCCTCCAGCTCCAGCCAGGTCCCATCTCCAGGAGGGATGTCCAGGCACTCTTCCCTCCCCTCTGAGGGTGGAGAAAGGACTTGGTCTTCAGAGTCTTTCTCTCCGTAGTTTAGATAGAAGCTCCTCTCTGCAAAGGAGGTGTCAGTCTCATCACTTGAGTCAGCTCTGGCTTCTGCCTGCACTGGATCCAACAGAAAGGACTGGAGTCCTCCCTTGTCTGAGGCAGGAGAGAGAACCTCTTCCTCCACTGACCTGGCCCCTGTGACTGTGGGTCGTCCCCAAATCTGGAAACTCTCCAGCCCCTTCCCCAGTTCCATTTGGCTTTCCAGCTGACCATCTGAGACACAGTAGTTCCTGACGGGTGCCTTGGTGGCACCCACCTTGAGCTCAGGGCCTTCAAGGAGCTTTTCTCGTGTAGCCTGGGTAGCCCCTCTGGAGCCTCCCCTGACCCAGGGGCCTTCCTCCCCCATCGTCTCAAAGTCTTCTGGACTTGCAACCACGCTCCTTTGCTGCTGACTGCCTGCTCTTCTGGCTCCCACCATTTCTTCTGTGGCCACTTCAACTTTGAACTTGTCCATCAGAATGTCTACCTTGGAGAGTCTGCCATCAGCAAGGATCTCAGCAAAGCCTGCCTCACTTTCTTCCCGTTGTATGGCAGCCACTGTTAGGAGGCCACGTTCTTCTGGCCTAGTGGATACTCTTTCTATAAATACCCAGTGCTCTGATCCCTGTGTTTCAATTGGAGCAAGAAAAGTTAACGTGAAATAGAGGCACCTGAAGCCTGGCCTCTTCTTTCTGTAAGAAGGGGCCAATCTACCACCAAAGGATTTGATCCTGGGACCATGTGTCCCAAGAACTGGCCAGGGGCAGAAAGGGATGACAATACTAACACCCTTGTCAAGGTTATTTTTCCTATGATGGCCCCCAATAAATTACTAACTGACCCTCTTCAATCACTGATCCCAATTTAATAAAATGGGATGGGGTCTCATACCACTCCCATGATAACAATGGGGAAAGGGAGATCCACAGATGGGCCAGGCCTCTTCCTCCTTCTCTTGTAATAAAATATTTGACACTGTCAAGAGGGGAAAGCACTTATATCACAAACAATCTCTGAGTATTACAGTTGAAAGAGCTCTTAAGACATCTGGTGTGATATTCCTTATAGGGGAAACTGAGGCCTGGGGAAGGCCAAAGACTTGGTCACAGCCATTGTTGATGGTAGAGTCAGGAGAAGAATGGCTGATTTTTGATGCCTGAGATCTTTTCTGACTCAGCCCTCCCGCCCCCTAACTTTGAAACTCAGGTGTCAACTGGGATCTGATGTCAAGCTGAGGGGAGGCAATGCAGTGAGTTGTGTGTCACAGGCCCCAGCCTAAAATGCAACCTTTCTACAAGAGTATTTGGGGAGGAAACAGATTAACAGCAAAAATGCCACATGGCCAGGTTAGTGCCAGTTGAAGCAATGCTTAAACGACTTGAACAATTCTTGGAAAATTCTAACAAAATCCAAGGAAAGAAGAGAAAAGGGCCAATCAGCACATATCACAGAAGGAAAAGACCAAAAGAAAGATCGTCACAGGGACAAAGGACCAGAGTGCATACTGTCAAACTCACTACAAGATGGTCCTCTCCCCATCCCCAACAGCTTCTAGAACTATTAAAGAAGCCATAATGCCATTGGGATTTTAATACTGAGACCTCAGAATATTTTCTGGCCATAAAAATCTCATCTATTTAATACGCATTGCAAACACTGAGCAGCTCTGGGGAAGTTGGAAGCCTGGGTAGAGGTCCCTCTCTCCTTTGAAGTCACAGTCCTCATTCAAGTCCTTCAAAATGTAGACATGGAAGTCAATTTCCAAATCTAGGCCTAGAGGAAAAAAGCAATTTGCCCATCTAATCACAGAGCCTAGAAATCAGTCCTGTGAGTTCTGAGAAATGTAACTTTCTCACTCTACCAAGACCACCTCCATAGTAAGAAACTGTTCCCAGCAGCAGGAGAGGGGAGGCTCATAGGACCCTAGACTCCTTTTCAGGTTATGGCTTGGCAATGAATCTGCCAATCCCATAAGAGCTGAAGGAGTTGGAAGGCTCAAGGGAACATTGCAAACCCTTTTTCCCAGGTCAGAGAGTCCTACCTCTAAGAGAATCTTATCAACAGGAAAGAGAGAAAAGGAAGAGGGAGGTCCAGACACAGACTGGTATAGCTTTCTGGGATGTTATTTTAGGTTGTTGCACTTGAACCCTCATAGGGATGTGCTTTATCAGCTTACAGAGGCCAGGACTCCTCTCATCTCCTTAGGAAGCAAGTTCCGTCAGTTGCTTTTGTTTCAACTTCTCCTAACAGTATCAGCCTGGCAATGATGGTCAAAGTTGGCCATCAACCAAAGAGACCCCTTCTGGAACATTCCTGCTCCAATTCTAACTAGCAAGTAGGTTAGATGGGCAATAGTGTGTGGGGTGGAAGCTGAATGGAAAGAAAGATTCTGAAGGCAGAAAAGGGGAAACATGTGGTGATGTTTGCTTAGTAGGTGCCAAGCAGTGTCAGCCCTTCATCTATGTAATTAAATTTAATGCAATTGGCAACCTTATTTCAGAAGGGGAAACCAAGACTCCCAAAGGGAAGGGGGGCTTGCCAAAGATCACAGAGTAGCAGTGGGGGAAGAAGTAAGGGCTCTGTTTCCAAAAAGCAAAAGTACAGAAGCTGTGTGTCGGCGGGGGTGGGGGTGAGTTAAAAAAGAAAAAAATTAGTTGGTACTAGTGCACTGCACTGGTAGAGCCACATCTGATCTGAGTCACAAGATGGGACAATGTTAGGGTAGCCTCAGAGGGGTCAGCCCTTACAGTATTTCTCCAGAGTCCCCAGCTCTTGGGTGCCTTGCTTAGAATGCTCCATGCCATCCAATCCAGCCACAAAAGTGGGGGCAAGGGGCTCTGCTTCTACACATGCCAGTCAAGAAGAAACTCCAGCAGGGAGGTTCTGCCCTCCCAGATGTTCAGACCCCACCTGGATCACATTCTGGACCAGAAGGAGGGCAGGATGGGGGGCTCTCCAGAAACCACATACTGGGAAAAACTGTTGAAGGAGGGGATATGGAAGGGAAGTATTCAGTCTTCTGAGGGGTAGCCTCAGGGAGGCTACAGAATAGGTCCATGGCCACCAGAAGGACAGAGGAGGTTCATGGGCAATGGACTCACAAAGACAGACTTAAATTAATTTGAAGAAAATTTCCTGACCTGCATGGTGGTAATTGCATTTGGGGGGGGAGCGGTGGTTGAGGCAAGACGATCACAAGTTTGAGTCCAGCTAAGAACAACATAGAAAGACCTTGTGGAAGGAAAGAAGAATGGGAGGGAGGGAGGGAGGGAGGGAAAGAGAAGGGGAAGCAGAAGGGGGAAGGACTGAATGATCTTAATTGATGACTGAAGACAAGTAAGCTGCTTTCAAGGACAGTGAGAGCCCTCTCTGTGGAGGAGGCTGATGTGGCAGGATGCTGATAAGGATGCACAGCAGGGCTCACTCCCCATACAGGCATCTGCCCCCTGGTTCTAGGACTCCAAGATGTGTTCCTACATTCCAAGATGTGTGTGGACTCCAAGGTAGGATCACTGTGTTCCTACCTTTGGGATACTGTTGGTTCCTGTTTCACTACCCTCAAGAGAACAAATGGATAGTTTTGTTTTTATTTTTTATATAAAGGAAAACTGCAAAGACAATTATGGTTTGTGTTTTACCAGGTCTGGAGCTCACTCCTGCTTTTCCTATAACTGTAACACATTTATAGCAGAAACTTTCTCTGTGATAACAGAAAGGTATATGTCTCCACAAACCATATCAATGGATGGGCATGGAGACCAGAAGAAGGCCAAATGCCTTCCAACCCCAACAGGCTATTTGGAATCTCAGCAGAGAGAGAAGACATGGGAATTCCATCCCCAGCATCCATACAGGGTCACAGGAAATCCCAGAACCCACTGACCTGCTGCTATCCTGGACCCAGAAACAATGCCCTCCTCACCTGGAATGCCTGCCTCTCTTAGAAGCCCAAGGATGCTCTTGGAAGGAAGATATTTACTTTTGCTTGACTGGAGTCCCAGACAGGCCAATGTCCTAGAGAGGTTTAGAGAGCTAGAAGCTGGGGATGGATGTAATGCCATACCATGCCACTGCTAGACCACAGTTGGGCTTCTAAATAGAGACAAGATCTTAGGGCAGGACACACTCAAGGGCCAAGACACCTAATCCCAAGCTTAGAGGCGAGAGCTGGCTTCCAGAGAAGGTCATGTCCCACCCCTTTGGAGCTAGAGGTACCAGCTATTCTATCTTCTTAGGATGGCTATGGTCCTGTCCTTCCTGAGAAGCAATGGATGAGGGAGGGGGCTGGCCCTTCATGGATCTCTTCATGGGGAAGCCTGCCAGTCACAACATGGGAACAACATGGGCTACCCCCTGCGTGGCAGAATCTGGCCCATATCCCTCATCCCAGGAAAGAGGTTTTTTAGGACCCTGAAGGGGAGAAAGGGATAGGTTGGAGGCCCAGGAGGAAGGGGCATGGGAAAGTGAGGACAGTAACCTCAGGCGATGCTGTGAGACTTTTCTGAGTGAACACTTCCAAGTCTGCTGATGTTCCAGGTACCAAGTCCTGCTGAGAAGTATCCTGGGTCCTCTGGGCCTGCAGGAGAGGCCCAGGGCCAGAGGAAAGGGAGAGAGGGAGGAAGGAAAGGAGAGACAGAGAGAGGAAGACAGGCAGAGAAAGCAGGAGACACACATACATATGAGTCTGTAAACAGTCCAGCTTTGTAAGTCCCACACCCTTATGGATTCAGTCAGGAAGGAGCCACTGTGAGGGGGGAGATAGAGATAGATAGCCTTTCTGGGCTGCTGAAGGGTGGGAGACCTCGTGGTTAGCTGCAAGGCAGTTCTGTGGCTTTCATCCTGTCCCTCATGCCCACTGACATTCTAGGGATTTTGGAGCCCCACCATTTGGTCTTGACTTCAAGCCTGTTTGAAGTCCAGGGTGCCCTGTATCTGGGGTCACAGTTGGAACTTTACACAAGCACGAGGTCTTGAGTTCAGATCCCCAGCACCTATGTAAAAAGCCAGGAGTGGTAGTACATATCTGTAATCCCAACTCTGGGGAGGTACAGACAGGTGGATTCCTGGAGCTCACTGGCCAGTCAGCCTAGCTGAATCTGTGAGTTCCAGATTCAGTGAAAAATATAGTGGAGGGGCTGGTGGGATGGTTTGAAAGTTGTCTTCTGACCTCCACATATGTGCACACAGAAACATACACACACACACGCACACACACACACACAAAGTTTTTTAAATTAATGAAAATTTTGTAAAACATTAAAAATGGAGGATGTCTAAGGAAGGTACTCTTTGTTGACTCCTGGCTTCCACATGCACACACACACACACACACACACACACACACACACACAAATGTGTATCTTAATGCACACACACACACCCCTACATGAACACACATCACCAATCCATCAATACACACACACACACGAATGTGTATCTTAATGCACACACACACACACCCCTACATGAACACACACCACTAATCCATCAATACATACACACACGAATGTGTATCTTAATGCACACACACACACCCCTACATGAACACACACCACTAATCCATCAATACATACACACACACACACACACACACACACACACACACGCATGCACGCACGCATGCACACAAGCACCAAATGAGAATAGCTCAAGCTCCTACTGCTGTCCTCTAGGGTTGGATGGGACCCAACAAGCCATGAGACAACTGCAGGAATTCTGGGTGGTTTGCCCTTGCAGGATCCCTCATGGAGCCCATATTGAGTAAGGGATTCTAGTCACTTTCAGCAACTGTCACATGACTATCCACCACTTTCTGGGGGACAACAAGCTTTCCTTTTCATCATGTCAGTGACCTTTGATGGAGTGACATTTTGGTCCCCTTTCAGGTGGTCTAGGCAATGAGGCTCAGAGAGATGACATCACTCATCCAAGCCCTTATCTGTGACTCCTCATTTCCCAAATCCTCAAGGACCTATAAATGCCAAGGAGCCTAAAAGCCAGTTCTGAATGGTTCACAGCTCCAAGCTGGGCTCTGGACTGTAATTCTTGCAGGTGTGCCAACTACAATTCTTAGGGCTGAGGAGAGGGTGGCTGGAACAGCCTCCACCTTTTAATAAGGCCCATCCTTCAGCAGTTCCAATTGTCACCAGCAGGTGGCACATACCACACACTAGGCTGGTCTGAGACCCAGAACTTCAGGCCCCAGCTGACTAGCACTCATCTCTCTAGCTCTTCTCTGCTGGCACCTGACCCTTTGGGTAGCCTCTGTGCCCCACTTCATCTATAGCCAAGCCAGGACCTGGCTCACCTCAGGACTGGTTACAGGCTACTCTGGCCAAGTCTCTCCCTAGGAAATGAGGGGAGAGGACCTGTATTAGCTCCCTACATCACACCCAAGGTCTAGCCTGTGGTCTTGGTTGTATTGGGACCATAGAAACCTTTACAGGCATATCTAACTTGCAGCCCATGGGCCATGTGCATCCCAGGGAAGCTATGAATGAAGTTCAACACATTTGTAGAAGACAACATCATGTCCTAATGTCAAAAGGTAACCCTGCTAGCAGATGCAGAGATTTACCCTTTGTCCAGGGCATCAGCCTTAAAGGCCCCCAAAACATTCCTAATTTTATGCCTCTGGCAACCATGGCATCTCAGGAGCTATGTCTGAGTTTATACCTCAAAAGGAAAATCTGTTACAAGACAAGCTCAGACCAGGGTTACTATCTCAGTAAAATGTTCTATGAATTAGATTGTGGCTGCATCACCAATTTTTAAAGCATCAGAGGGATGCTCGTAACAACTAGCTCTATACCAAGTCTGCACATGACTTGGTCTTGCCTCGAGGCAGCTGTGAATTAAGGACAACTATAATGACCTGGGACACAACAAAAGCAGCTTTTAACCCCTGGTCCATCAGCTACGATGCTGGATCATCTTTCATCTTTCTGGGTCTCAGTGCCCCATGGGCTTCTGGGTCCTTCCAGCTTTGATTTGGAGTTAATCTCTTGTATGGAAGAGTCCTGGAACTCTCCATATCATCCTGTATAATGCACATATCAGGCTTACGTCAGGCAGCATGTTGGTCGTGTGGTCCTTCTCCATGCATTATCTCATTTGAACTTCACAATATCCCTATAAAGCATCTCTACCTAACAGGGCCTCAGAGAGATTAAATAACAAGCCCAGAGTCCTTCAGCTGGCAGGCAACGGAATCAGCAGCCTAAGTCTAGACCATAGTTGGGCTGGTGACTCGTGAGCAGTAAGCTTCAGAGAGAAAAAAACCTACATTGAAACGGGTAAATCTTGCCAAGCTGTAGCAAGTACTAAAAATAATAGCTTGGGGTATAAATACGGGATCTCCCCCAATCCTATCTTCTTTTTTCAACAGAGAAAACACCCTACACTTTCCACTCTGGAAGAAAGGACATGGACCCTTTTGGGGAAGCCTTGGGAGCAGGTCTGGTCTGTGTGGACTGACTGTTTTGGTGGACTCTGAGGCTCCTTCCAGGAGAGTCCATCAGACATAAGGGTCTGATTCAAGGAGAGGGCTTCCAGGATTCTTAAATTGCATATGCAAGGGAATTTTCTAGTATACTTGTTTAAAGAGGTTGGTTCCAGGACTCTGCTGCCTAACAGCTGATTCCATAGGTCCAAGGCAGAGCCCTGGAACCTATATTTCTAATGAGCACCCATTCCCATTATTCTCTGCCTAATTGAAGGGGAGCACACAAAGCTATCAGGAGTCTTTGAAATTTTTCATGCTCTAAGGTGGTCCTGGGACCCAGACTTCCAAGAGTTAATGGATCAGACTTCCTTAGCCTAACCTGCCTCCACATCCCATCAGCCTGCAGGCAGCATGGAGGACACAGTGCTGAGGAGAAATGTAAATATGTACTAACCCCCTCCAAGTACCTCTTTTCCCAAGGTCCCCACTGAGGGATTCAGTGAGACACCTACCTCGCTAGCTTTCTCAGGGGTGCCCTTGGGGGACGGGGATGCAGGGGAGGAGGGCAGCCTGCGCTCCCGTTCCCAGTCTCGATCTCGGTGGATCAGTTTGCTGTTGGGCTCCTTCAGGGTCCTCTTGAGTTCATTGATGCTGGCCTGGTGCTTCAGCAGGACATCCTCTGGCTTGTCCAGGAACTAGGCATGGGTGGAGAAGGCAGAGATGTAAGGTGGACAGCTCCAAGCAGGTGATAAGTGTGCAGGAAGGAGGGTAGCAGTCACCATCACCACCCTGCCCATAATGTAATTCCCTAACCTGAGGCTGCCTTCTTCAAACAGCCCTAGGAGCCAAGTGAGGTAAGGATCATAAGCTCTAAGAGGTGCACCAACCAGAGGCTTAGGGCGACTGGATGACAAAGAGGGTGGTCTAGTAAGGCCACCCTCTTCTCTTCCCTGCCTGACACCCTGACCTCAGGGAACCCAACTCTATGTAAGACCCTCAGGTCTGGGTGAGTTCCTGTCATACTCTAGGTCCAGATGGAGTCAAGCACACAGATGACCTGGGCCAGTAAGTAGGATGTCTAGTCTTGGCACTTCTGAGCCCCCATGCAACTGCTGAGATCCAGGGCCTTGAATGAAGATATGCCTAAACTGGGGTCATCCTGGAAAATGGGCCCTATCCCCTTACTCAGGACCAGAGAAACACTATATAGCCTTCTCTTCCCTGAGCCACTACCTTCCAAGATGCCTTCTGGGTATTGACTATCTAAGAGCAGATAGAGTGAGATACTACCAAACAGAGGGGCTAAAATGCAGGCATAGAGGTGGAGTTCAGGTGGGGACAGGTAATCAGGAAGAAGAGATGAGTTTCAGGACCTAGCACAAGAATGAGGCAGGCATAGCTGGGGTCACAGGAGTGTCCCTCATTAAACCACCAAGTGTGAGCTCATGCCTGGGCAGCAGATGGAGTAATCTGCTTGGGTCCAGTGAGGATGAACCACAGAGAACTGCCAGTTCTGTTCATCTGCCTGCTTCTGGGGCATAAAGGGTAGGCTAGCAGCCCAAAGACCTATCAACAAGGCTATTTTAGGACTCACAACAACCCTATTAAGGGTAAGAAATGGACAATCTTAGCTTATGAGACAGACCAGTTGGTTCTAGGGGAACCATCTGGAAGATAAGCTTGCCATTGGATAAGGCTAGGCTATCCCCTTGGGTTCATCTCAGGCCTCAAAGAATCACTGTGGTTGCTCCCAAACTTTCTCAGGAAGAAACCCAATGCCCCCGAGGCTTCTGCTTTCCCTCCAGACACCTGCCTGCACCTCGGGCCTCCTTCTCAGGCTACGCTGGGACACTGCCTGTCTGAGAAGTCAAACCCCATGGAGTTTGTACAGGGTAGGACTGGGCCTCAATAGTTAGTGGGTCTCAACCCAAAATGATTCCAAGCTAGCCTGCTGGCCCTGTAGGTGAGCTGTGCTCCCAAGAGCGAGGGAGTGGGTGGGTCCTGGGATTCTTGAAAGTGAAAGGCCTTGGAGAAAGTGTCAAGGCCAAGAACAAAAATGAGTTAGGTATAGCTGGGTCACAGGTAGTCTGATGTATAGTTGGGCACATAGGGCCTGAGGGACTTTTCTAAGACCCAAAGTCAGGGCAGAACCAGGATGAAACTCAGACCCCAGGATGCTACGGCCAGGCCCTGACTACAGCCTGGTCTCAATAGACCAAAGATAAACAGCATCCCTTTGACTTAAGGTTCCACTGGAGAGCTGGAGACTGAGAAAAGGAAGAAGTGGGAACTCAGGAGGAAGAAGATGAGGGGAAGCAGCAAATAAAAGATGGGAGGAAGAGGAAAGGAGAGGTTTTTGATGGAGCCAAGGCAGTAGCAGTCCACTCGGGAGGGAGGTAGAACTGGAGTCTAAGCAGGCACAGATGTGCTCTGAGGGCTCCTCCCTCCCCACGCGAGCCCCCACTCCCACAACCGGTTGCCAAGAGATACAAAGAGAAGGGCACAAATGAAATGGAGGTGTGGCCAAACTGCTGTGGGGAAAAGAAGCTAAGGATGGGAGGGTGGGGGTGGAAGGAGGAGCTAATGGAAGCACAGAATGGTCTGGAAGAGCTGGTGGATACAGGTGGGGTGGTCAGCAGGAGAGAGGCAAGCATGGATTACCAGGCGGGGGCAGGGGGGGGAGGGAGCAAAGATTGACACTGGGTAGAGGGTAGGGCATATGGATGGGGCTAGAGTCTGAGCAGGGAGCTGGAGACATGAGTTTCATGAGGAAGCAGGGTGATTGGAGAGGGGGAGGATGGAAAAGGGAACGAGGAGGGTGGGCAGAAACAAAGCTGGAGCTGAGATGGTGTCAGAGGCACAAATGCGAGACAGTGAGATGGTGAAAAATGAACTAGGGATCCGAAAGGCTGGGGAGGGAGGGACAGGTCCCATGCAGTACCTCCTGCTTGTGTCTCGGCGTGGTTTCCTGCTCCGGCTAGTGGGATATGGCAAGAGGGAAAGGAACCAGCAGGGTCAGTAGAGCAAACAGATTAGAGACACTGCAACCAGCCTGGTCTAGCAAGGTAGCCCCGTGCACTCACAACCAACCCAACCAAGCAGCACAGGCCAGGAAAGCTGCTGGGCCACCCACCGGGTGATGAGATAGCAGGGTGAAGGTGTGGGGCAGAAAGTAGGGGGTTGTCCCAGGAAGACAAAGGGGCCAGGGACTGGAGGGAGGCCAAGTGTCCAGAATTCCACTCACAGACGGGGTACCATGTCTGGAGTGTCATGCTTTGAGCTGCAGAGAGGGTGTGTTTAGGGGCCTGTGCTCACACTTCAGAATCATATGACAGAAAAAGGCTGCTTAGCAATGCCACCAAGGAAGCCACACCTGGCCTGTGTGTGGCCAGGCCTGTGCCTGTGAACATGCTGTCATGTCCCTGAATAAGTCTAACACTCAGGGCGCCTGCAGGAGAATGCATACATGCACACTGGGGGTAGGTATGTGCAGAAAAGGAGGGTGAGGCTGCGAGAAAGGACACACCTATACCTCACAGTGTAAGGGAGTGGTGCACCTGGTCATGCTCAGGGGAGGAGAGGTAACACAGAGCCAATCATAGACAAAGTGCTGATGAGGGTGAGTTCTCCAGGAGATAGAGCAGCCTCCTCCTACACCCTGGGGAAGCTGGGCAAAAGGGGATAGCATGCCCATCTCCACGCCCAGCCCTACCCTGGATGTGCAGGTGTTTGAGTACAGCCCAAGGCTAAGGTCATGTCCATGGTACATCCTACAGCAGGGGTGTTTGGCTACAGTTAGGACATGTGAAGGTTGGGGCTAAGTCTAGGCCTCAGGTCAGCCTCCCAGTCCCTGGGTCTAATAAAGTACATGACAGTCAGGCAGGCTCATACCTTTAGCTCCTTGATCTTGGTGGGGGTCCTGACCTCTCCTTCCTCAGCCTCTGATCGCCGACTCCCAGACTCAGCATCATCTTCCCGCTTGTCTCCATCAGGCCCTGTGTCATGGTTCTCACTGACTGAGGCAGGGCGGGAGAACTCTGCTAAAGTGGGTAGGGATGGTGTGTGAAGCATCTCCCCATGCACGGTGAGAAAGCCAGCCAAGCCAGTACCCGGCCACACTTGCAGTAGAGCCAAGTCTCAACCCACTGCTCATCCTGGTCCACAGCTGGTGAGTGGCAGAGCCACTTCCCAGCCTTGGGCCCTCTCCTGCTTACTACAGCACTATTGCCTGGGTTCACATCTCAAATCCAACCCTTCTTGGCTGTGCGATAGTAGGTAAATTACACAATCTCTCTGGGATTCAGTTTCCTCATCAATATACAAGTATCTCTTTCAGACAGGGGAGGTGATGAACCAATGAGCTAAGGTGGGTGTGTAAGCTGTCTGGCCCAGAGTGAGCGCTCCATCAAATGCTAGCCCAACAAACATCACTATCTGGGTTGTGGTCACTGAGGCAAAACCAGTTATATGATTATCTACCTAGCAAAGCCTAGGTATAGCTTTTACTAGTGACAGCAAAAGGCCTAAAGTTTATGGATGCTTTACCTTCTCTATAAATTAATGAGAATTCAAGGGGTCACTGTAATAATGTCCCTCTCTTTCACTGCAATTCCAAAATACTTTTCTGAATAGGAGAAGGGTAGGTTTGAGACCTCACCAGACTATGCCATAGATTGCCTCTTGGTGGGAGACAAGATGGAAAACACTGTGTGATGATAACCAGAGCACATACAACCCTGGAGCTGGCCTAGCTTAAAAACAGATGCCAGGGGCTGGAGAGATGCTCAGGAGTTAAGCACAAGCTGTTCTTGCAGAGGACCTGGGTTCAGCCCCCAGCATCCACATGGTAGGTAACGACAGTCCAGATCTAGGGGGTCTGACGCCCTCTTCTGGCCTCTGTGGGCACTGCATGCACATGGTGTACTTATATACATGCAGGCAAAACATTCATACCCTTTAAAAAAAAACAAAACAGGTGCCAGTTTCCCTTCTCTTTCATAGCTGCTGCTTTGCAGAGCGCCGATTCATGCACACTGCTCCATGTGACTCTCACTACTCTGTTGCTGGCCAGCCTGGGAATTACTACCCCCACTTGACAGAGGATAAGTCAAAAGAGAAAGGTTTGACTGGTGTCCCTCTGGGGTGTCAAGAAAGAAGTTCAACCTTCAGGATTAGAGGTGGGGCTTCTGTTCTTCCCCTGACAAATTTCCCCAGATCTGAGCTAACCTCTGCTGTCACCTCTCCTCCAATCTGGGTTCCATTTAATCCCTGGCTTTGGAATAGAACCTACAGGAGAGGGTGAGAGGACCAGTCCAGGTTCTTTTTCCTTCATGAAAACCACTCTGCCATTTTCCTGGTAGAACGCCAGACTATGCACTGCTGAGCTTCTCAGGCAGGGAGCCAGAAAACTAGGGACCCCACAAGGTCACAACCCAGAGAAGTCCTCAGAGCACTTGTAGCACCCAGTGGGACAGAGCTAACCCAGAGCTGGCTGGAAGCAGCAGTGCTTGTGGGCCACATCACCCAGGGCAAATGATGTTGGGAGTGCTACTACTATCAGTGTTTGCTCTGCAAAACCCAGAATGTCCACATCCCCTGCTTCCCTCCGAAGACCACTCTTCCTCCACCTCCAATGTGGGCCATACCTCCATCAAGGCTGCGGGACATGGTGTACCGTTTGCTGGAAGACCGTTCAAAGAAGGGTGCAGGCCGGTCGATGAGGGCGCTGGCCTGGCGGGTCTGTGCCTGGGTTCTCCCACTGTACCGGAACTTGGAGCCCATCACCAAAAAGCCCTTGGGTGGGGGCTCTGGGGACACCAACCTGCAATGGAGTGATGATAGAAGTGATAAGTAAGGATGGGCCCTGCATTGCTAGACCCAAGGTGAGACCTCACAGGCTTGTCTTTCCAGTGTCCCACCAACTAGAACACCTCAGAGTCCAGAAATGGAAGACAGGGGGAAAGGTGGGGCTGGCCTGTGTGCTAACTCCTCCTCATGCTCCCAGCACCTCTCTCACCCCTCTATCCCCCTCCCTCCGCACCCCCCTGCACCTCCCTCCCCTTCCTGGTGTCAGCTCACCGGAAGAACGTGTGGTGCTCAATGCAGACCTTCCACAGCCGCTTTGCTGACCGGTGGTTGGGGAGCTTGAAGCCAATGGTGCTCTCAAACTGTTCATACTGGGAAGCCGAAAAAGGGGGTGTTAAAGGCAGGACTTGGCCACATTTGCCACCAGCCCACCTTCTCAACCTCTCTCCAGGTAGGTACAACTTTGGCCTGTTTGTGCACATAACCAACAGGGGAGACTGTGCCCTCTTGTGTGACCAATCAAGCACCACACATTGGAGAACAACAGAGAAGATTCTACAGAGTAAGGAGGTCTCAATTCAATTTTTTGGTTTATTTATTTTTATGTGTATTGGTGTTTTGCTTGAGTGTATGTAAATGCACCCTATATGCAATTCCCATGGAGGTCAGAAGAAGACGTTGGATCCCCTAGAGCTGAAGTTATAGATGGTTGTTAGACACCATATGGGTGCTAGGAACCGAACCTGGGTCCTCTGCAGGAGCAGCCAGTGCTCTTAACCACTGAACCATCTCTCCAGCCCCCTGAAATAATTAAATAGGGCTGGAGAGATGGTTCAGTGGTTGTACTTGCCCCACAAGCATGAGGACCTGAGTTAGGATCCCCAGAACCTACCTAAAATGCCATGTGGCAGTTCACCTGTAATTGCAGTCTCAGAAGGTAGAGACAGAGGACCCCAGAGCAAGCTGGCTAGCCAGACCAGCCATGTTGGTGAGCTCTGGGTTTGACGTAGAGGCTCTGAATTATTGAATAAAATGGAAGAACAGTTGAGGATGATTCCCAATATCAACCTTGGGCTTTCAAATGCATACACCGTAGACACAGACACAGACACACACAAAAATGGAAAAACAAAAAAATAAAACACAAGGTCATTGTGTTGTGAGCTCTGAAGGGAACAGAGGGAAGTGCTGGGCAGGCTTGGGGTTCTCTGGAGCTACCCTCCAGATAGAAGAGGTTGGAGCTGAGCTTGGAAGGACAGAGATGTTCTACAGCTTGGATCTTAAATGTCCCCCTAAATGTCCAGGTGTTAAAGACTTAGTCCCCACTCTACTACATTTGGGAGATGGAAGCCTTTAAGATGTAGGGTCCCAGGCTGGAGAGAATGCCTCAGCAGTTAAGAGCACTGGCTGCTCTTTCAAAAGACCCAGGTTCAGTTCCCAGCACCCACATAGCAGCTAACAACAATCTGTAACTCCAGTTTCATGGGCTCTCATACCCCCTTTTGGCCTCATGCAAGCATGAGTACATTTTATACACACGCAGTTAAAACACTGGTACACACAAAAAATTAATTAGGCCTGGAGAGATGGCTCAGTGGTGAAGAGTGCTGGCAGCTCTTGCAGAGGACCTGGGTTCGATTTCCAGCACCCACATGGCAGCTAACAACCATCCATAGCTCCAGTTCCAGGGGATCTGATGCCCTCTTCTGACCTCCATGGGCATTTCATGACACAGGTGCACCTACCTACATGCAGGCAATATAGTCATATACATAAAAATAAATAAATCAAAAAATTTTTAATTGATTAAAAATTTTAAATTAGTGGGGTCTACTGGGAGTTTTTAGGTCACTGAGGGCATGACCTCAAATGCTGGTATCTTTATATTGCTTTGTTTTGACCTTGAAGTGGCCATTCTGCCCCTCCATGATGTGCTGCGTCACCATAGGCCCAAAGCAATGGGGATAATCAGACATGGACTAAAACCTCCAAAACTGTGAACCAGAATAAAATTTTCCTCTTTATAAGTTAATAATATCAAGTATTTTTGTTATAGTAACAGAAAGCTAACACGGGAAGGAACCAGCCATGTTAGAAGAGGGAAAAGAGACTTTCAGGTAGAATGTTATATGCAGTCTTTAGAGTAGGAAAGAGCTTGACTAATTCAAATATTGCAGAGCAAGTCAGAAGGGCTGGAGCATCACAGGCATCAGATAGCATAGTAGAGAAGGTAGGAGAGGTAGGCGGCCTTGGGAGCCAGATGCCAGTTAGAGAACTGAAGACAGTTCCTGAAATACTTCAGCAAGGGGTGTTTGTGCTGGATAGTTGTAGGTTGGCAGGATCTGATCGAAAGGATAAGAGGCAGGGAGCTCAATGAAAAGGACCATGTAGAGATTATAGGTGATGACAGAAGCTGGTGACTGGTAAATGGGGAGGAAGGCCCAGTGGTCAAGGTTACTCTAGTGGCAGAACCATGATTTTGATTGGATTGTGGGGTTGAAGGATAACCGGTGTGTAGATGTGTGCCTGGACATACATGCTGTGTGTTATTCTGTACCTGTGTGTCTTGTTAAGCATACATGGTGGAGTATTACACATATTACACATAGGCAAATATGTACACACAAACAGTGTGTGTATGTGTATGTGTGTGCGTGTAAGTATACATGTGTGTCTGAAAGCACACATCCAGGGCCAGCAAGATGGCTCAGTGGGTAAAGGTATTTGCCACTAAGCCTGATGACCTGAGTTTGATTACCAAACTCACTTGGTGGAAGGAAAGAACTGATTCCTCCTACAAATTGTCCTCTGGCACATGTGCAGTCCCCCCCCCCCCCCACCAAAAAAATATATAAAAACAAAAAAAAGT